CTCCCTCCCTCTCTCTCTCGACACTGTACCTGTCTCTCTCCCTCTCCATCTCTCGACACTGTACCTGTCTCTCTCTCCCTCTCCCTCTCTCTCTCGACAATGTACCTGTCTCTCTCACTGTCTGTCTGCCCATGTCTCTCTCTCTCTCTCTGTCTGCATGTTTGCCTGTCACTCTGGGAGCTATCCCCTGAACACAAGTACCTGCAGTAGACCCCGGTGGAAGTCCCTCGTGTGGTTTGCTGATCCTAGACCAGGAGTAGGTGAGAGGTGGAGAGCCCAAATGACTGACACAGTGCAGTCTTACATCCTGGCCTTGCTCTCCAGAGCGATCGATCCAACACTCAGGTTTCTGGGGCCGCACTGCAACAAGAGAGAGAGAGGGGTGGGGGAGCGGGGGGTACATCAAAATCCTTCCTAGGCACTGCCTCAGTGAAAGAGAGAGAGAGAGAGACAGACAGAGAGAGACAGAGAGGAAGAGAGAGAAATAGAGACGGGGGCGCGGGTGCGAGAGAGAGAGAGAGACACAGAGGGTGAGAGAGAGACAATGGGAGAGAAGAGAGACAGACAGAGAGAGAGGGTGAGAGAGAGAGTGACAGAGGGAGTAGAGACAGTCAGACGGAGAGAGAGACAAAGAGAGAGATAGAGAGAGTCAGAGGAAGACAGAGAGAGAGAGGGAGAGAGAGATGGAGGGAGAGAGAGAGCAAATCAGAGACAGAGAGAGAGAAACCGAGAGAAAGAGAGAGATAGAGACGGAGAGAGAGTGAGTGACAGAAAGAGACAGGGACAGAGATATGTAGAGAGACTGAGAGATACAGAGTGAGGAAAAGTTTAGAGGGAGCCTATCAGAAAATGATCACCAAAGGCCCTCAGTGAGAAAAAAGGAGGAGCCGGGGGAGAGACTAAGGCAGTGAGAGCATTATAACTCACTGGGAATTCTGTCCCCATCTTCCTGGAATCATCTCAAACCTGAACATGTGATAAATTCACTGATTTGTCCAGATTTTCCCAAACTCTCTAATTCAGGTTGTGAGAGTATACACAACAGTTTGTTTTTCCCACTACGAGGAAACAGCTACCGATTGCAAATATTTTAAATCACTGGCAGCAGAGCAAGATGGATCTCAAAAACTTATACCCTCTAACTTAACCTCTACCCCTCTGAAACATTCCCACTCACGCACAAACAGAGGAACATGGCAAATTCGGGAAAAGTGCATTTCTGGCGTTTACTTAGATCGTAGGACAATGGAGCAGAATGAGGCCATTCAGCCCTTCAATGGGACTCCACTTTCCTGCCTCTTACCCCCACCCCCAACACCATCTCGATTCCCTTCCTGATTTAAAATCTGTGTCTCTCTCTCCCAGCCCTGAGCATACTGAGTGACCCAGCCTCGACAGGACCCTCTGCGGTCAAGTATCCCACAGATTCACTCCCCTCGGAGAGAAGAAATTCCTCCTCATCCCCTCGTCTCAAATAGGTGACCCTCTTATTCTGAGGTGACACGCTCTGGTCCGAGGCTCTCCCACAGGGGGGATACGATCTCTCCGCTTCTCCCCCTCTCAAGCCCCCTCGATAAGGTCACACCTCTCAAAACTCCGACCAGCAAAGGCACAACATCTCCCTCGTCAGACAGTGCCCTCCATCCCCCTCCCCGAGTGAACCCTCTCTGGATTGCCTCCCATGTCTGTCTGCCTGTCCTCAGATACAGGGCCCCCAAAACTGTTCGCAGTGTCCCAGCTGTGACCTGACTTCTAGCCCTACTTTTGGACTCCCACTGCCTTTGACATAAAAGCCGAATCTCCACGTGCCCCCTCCCACGGCCCAAAGAAATTAGGCGCCATCTTTGTTTTAGCGACCCGTGCACAATGGATGCGCCCCCCCAAAATCTCTCCGATGTCTCTTTCTCCCGTCTCTCTCTCTCTCCCCCCGTTTAAACAATATTCTGCCCCTCTACGCTTCCTGCCAAAGTGCATGCTGGATGTTTCTGCCAGGCTCAGGAACCAATCAGGTGCCTGTTACTAGGCTGAGCTCTCCTGAACCCACGACAGTGGAAGAGCCAATCGAAAGGCCAGAACTGCCCTGAACGCTGACAGGTTCTGTTTGACATCTCGCTCGCTTGATTAAGGCAACGCTAAATTTTAAAAAATAACGTTCCAAAGTTCTCCAGGAGTTTGTTTTAAAACCGCAGTCACCCCCTCACGTGGTTTAAGGGAGTAGGTTCGAGTCCAAATAAATGAGTTGGCTTTGTGTGAGAGAGCGTAGAGCGGGAAGGGCAGAGTTGGGAGTCAGAAAGAGACAGACAGATGGACGAGGCATGGGAGAGTAGACAGTACAAGACCAGAGCACGAACAGTGAGAGATTACATCAGGAAAGCTACTTTGTCGGTGAAGAGAGAGAGAGACTGACAGACACCCCAGTCCGTACAGAGAGATGGAACAGCGTGGAGAGTAAGGGAGGGGAAAGAGATACCCACAGTGGCAGAAAGAGAGACGAAGACGTGGTCAGAGATATAGTGACAGGAAGAGGCGGATAGAGACAGAGCAAGGTAAAGAGAGACAGACAGAATGAAGGCAGCAAGGGGATAATGAAACCTGGTGAATAGTCATCATTGCTCTCTCAGTGAGATCTCCTGGCTGTAACTTTATCTCTCCTTCAGACTGTGCCCTGGCCCCCCCATCCTGCTGTCACCGTTATCCTTAACCGAGTGCCTCAGCATGACCACCCACAGTCATCCAATTCCTCATTCATGGCCCCAATCCCTTCACTGTGACCTTCCACTGTCACCTTCACCCTGGCCCATGACCCCTGCCCCCTCACAGTGACGTCCCACTGTCACCCTAACCCTGACCCATGACCCCTGCACCCTCAGAGTGACCTCTCACTGTCACCCTCACTCTGGCCAATACCCCCTCCCCTTCAACATGACTCCCATGGTCACCCTAACCCTGACCCATGACCCCTGCACCCTCACAGTGACCTCTCACTGTCACCCTAACCCTGACCCATGACCCCTGCACCCTCACAGTGACCTCTCACTGTCACCCTAATCCTGACCCATGACCCCTGCACCCTCACATTGACCTCTCACTGTCACCCTAACCCTGACCCATGACCTCTGCCCCTCACAGTGACCTCCCACTGTAACCCAAACCTTGACCCATGACCCCTGCCCCCTCACAGTGACTTCCCACTGTAACCCGAACCCTGACCCATGACCCCTGCCCCCTCACAGTGACTTCCCACTGTAACCCTAACCCATAAACCCTGCTCCTCACAGTGACTCCAATGGTCACCCTAACCCTGACCCTTGACCCCTGCCCCTTCAAAATGACTCCCATGGTCATCCTTACCCTGACCCATGAACCCTGCACCCTCACAGTGACCTCTCACTGTCACCCTAACCCTGACCCATGACCGCGTCCCCTCACAGTGACCTCTCACTGTCACCTTAACCCTGACCCATGGCGCCTGACCCTCACAGTGACCACCCACTGTCATCCTAACTCTGACCCATGACCCCGTCCCCTCTCAGTGACCTCCCACCATCACCCGACCCCTGACCCATGACCCCTGCCCTTTCACGGTGACCTCTCACTGCCATGCTAACCCTGACCCATGATCCCTGCCCCCTGCCTCCTCACAGTGACCTCCCATGGTCACCCTAACCATGACCCATGACCCTGTCCCCTCACAGTGACCTCCCACTGTCACCCTAACTGTGACCCATGACCCCTGCCCCCTCACAGTGACTCCCATGGTCACCCTAACCCTGACCTATGACCCTGCCCCCTGACTGTGGACCGCCCTCTGGCCCCCCTGAACCTGACCTATGACCCCTGGCCCTTGACTGTCTCCTCTCACTGCCATTCCAACACAGACCGATGACCCCAGTCGGTCCCCACCTTGAATTCCCAGCAGGACCTCTACACCTCAGCGGCCCCTGCACCCAGTGTATGCCCAATAGCCAGGACCGTGTGCTTAACCCCTGACCCCTGTGCGCTCACCGTGAACTCCAACCGTCACCTTCCTGCTATCAATGCCAGGGGCTTTCTTCACTTTACACTGGAACGTGTTGGTGTCAGTGATTTGCAGTGACGTTAGCCTCACTGAGGCATTCCCCAGGCTCGGATCAACCTCCAGGAAGGACAACCTGCCTGACACAGGCGAAGGATATTCAAACACCTCCTCATGGACATAGGTCAGGACCTGGGCAAGGTACACGGATTGCACATGCTGTGAAACTGTGAGAGAGAGAGAGCTATATCTAACCCCGTGCTGTCCCTGTCCCTGGGAGGACAGTGTAGAGGGAGCTTTACTCTGTATCTAACCCCGTGCTGTCCCTGTCCTGGGAGTGTTTGATGGAGGGACAGTGTAGAGGAAGCTTTACTCTCTATCTAACCCTGTGCTGTCCCTGTCCCTGGGGAGTGTTTGATGGGGGACAGTGTAGGGGGAGCTTTACCCTGTATCTAACCCCGTGCTG